GGACCTGAGGCACCCCCCACCCTTCTCCCAGCCTCCAGCATCTTGGGGGGACGTGGTGACACCAGGAGGTCAAGATGGACCTGGGGCACCACCCAACCTTCTCCCAGCACCCAGCATCTTGGGGAGACACGGTGACACCAGGAGGTTAACATGGACCTGGGGCACCACCCAACCTTCTCCCAGCCCCTCCAATATTTTGGGGAGACACGGTGACACCAGGAGGTCAACAGGGACCTGGGGCACCACCTAATCTTCTCCCTGCCCCTCCAACATCTTGAGGCAACGTGGTGACACCAGGAGGTCAAGATGGACCTGGGGCACCACCCAATCTTCTCCCAGCGCCCAGCATCTTGGGGGGACACGGTGACACCAGGAGGTCAACAGGGACCTGGGGCACCACCTAATCTTCTCCCTGCCCCTCCAACATCTTGAGGCAACGTGGTGACACCAGGAGGTCAAGATGGACCTGGGGCACCACCCAATCTTCTCCCAGCGCCCAGCATCTTGGGGGGACACGGTGACACCAGGAGGTCAACAGGGACCTGGGGCACCACCTAATCTTCTCCCTGCCCCTCCAACATCTTGAGGCAACGTGGTGACACCAGGAGGTCAAGATGGACCTGGGGCACCACCCAATCTTCTCCCAGCGCCCAGCATCTTGGGGGGACACGGTGACACCAGGAGGTCAAGATGGACCTGGGGCACCACCCAATCTTCTCCCAGTGCCCAGCATCTTGGGGGGACACGGTGACACCAGGAGGTCAACAGGGACCTGGGGCACCACCTAATCTTCTCCCTGCCCCTCCAACATCTTGAGGCAACGTGGTGACACCACTAGATCAAGATGGACCTGAGGCACCACCCAACCTTCTCCCAGCCCCTCCAACATCTTGAGGTGACGTGGTGACACCAGAAGGTCAAGATGGATGGGGGGAACCACCCAACCTTCTCCCAGCCCCCAGCATCTTGAGGGGACATGGTGACAACAAGAGGTCAAGATGGACCTGGGCCACCACCCAACCTTCTCCCAGCCCCTCCAACATCTTGAGGCGACGTGGTGACACCAGAAGGTCAAGATGAATGGGGGGAACCACCCAACCTTCTCCCAGCCCCCAGCATCTTGAGGCAACGTGGTGACACCAGTAGATCAAGATGGACCTGAGGCACCACCCAACCTTCTCCCAGCCCCTCCAACATCTTGAGGCGACGTGGTGACACCAGAAGGTCAAGATGAATGGGGGGAACCACCCAACCTTCTCCCAGCCCCCAGCATCTTGAGGCAACGTGGTGACACCAGTAGATCAAGATGGACCTGAGGCACCACCCAACCTTCTCCCAGCCCCTCCAACATCTTGAGGCGACGTGGTGACACCAGAAGGTCAAGATGAATGGGGGGAACCACCCAACCTTCTCCCAGCCCCCAGCATCTTGAGGCAACGTGGTGACACCAGTAGATCAAGATGGACCTGAGGCACCACCCAACCTTCTCCCAGCCCCTCCAACATCTTGAGGCGACGTGGTGACACCAGAAGGTCAAGATGAATGGGGGGAACCACCCAACCTTCTCCCAGCCCCCAGCATCTTGAGGCAACGTGGTGACACCAGTAGATCAAGATGGACCTGAGGCACCACCCAACCTTCTCCCAGCCCCCAGCATCTTGGGGGGACACGGTGACACCAGGAGATCAAGATGGATGGGGGGCACCACCCAATCTTCTCCCAGCCCCCAGCATCTTGAGGCAACGTGGTGACACCAGTAGATCAAGATGGACCTGAGGCACCACCCAACCTTCTCCCAGCCTCCAGCATCTTGGGGGGACACGGTGACACCAGGAGGTCAAGATGGACCTGGGGCACCACCCAACCTTCTCCCAGCCCCTCCAAAATCTTGAGGCAACGTGGTGACACCAGGAGGTCAAAATGGATGTGAGGAACCACCCAACCTTCTCCCAGCCCCCCACCCCACCCCAAGAAGCCCCCCCTCACCAGGATGTCGAGGCAGGCGGCCTTGAGGAGGGTGATCTGGTCGGCCATGCTGAGGGCGGTGAAGCCGGGCAGGCGCTTGGCGAACTCCACGATCTTGATGATGCACTTGGTGGCCAACTCGCTGAACTTGTCCCACAGCCCCAGGTCCAGCTGCACCCGGTGGTCGGCGCTCGAGTTCTAAAAAAAATGGGTGACAACCCCCCCACCGGGACATGAGTGTGGCCCCACAAGCCTCCTGCCTTCTGGGCTGGAGGTCCCTTGTGTCCCCACGTCTCTGATACCTCCTCCTCATCCAGAGGTCCTCATGTTCCTGATACCTCCCAATCCAGAGGTCCCCGTGTCCCCATGTCCTGGACCAGAGGCTCCCCATGTCCCTGATACCTCCTGATCTAGAGGTTCCTGTGTCCCCATGTCCCTGATACCTCCTGGCCTGGAGGTCCCCATGGCCCTGCTACCTCCCAACACAGAGGTTCCCCATGTCCCCATGTCCCTGCTCCCTCCTGGACCAGAGGTTCCTCGTGTCCCCGTGTCTCCATGTCCCTTCTGCCTCCCAACCCAGAGGTCCCCATGTCCCAGTGTCCCCATGTCCCTGCTCCCTCCTGGACCAGAGGTTCCCCATGTCCCTGTGTCCCCATGTCCTTGCCACCTCCTGATCCAGAGGTCTCCATGACCCCACTGCCTCCCAATCCAGAAGTCCCCATGTTCCTGTGTCCCCATGGCCCTGCCACCTCCTGCCCTGGTGTCCCCATGACCTTATGTCCCTTCCACCCCCACATCCAGAGGTCCCCATGTCCCCATGTCCCCGTGTCCCTGCGTGTCTCCATGTTTCTGCTCCCTCCTGATCCAGAGGTTCCTGTGTCCCCATGTCCCTGATACCTCCTGGCCTGGAGGTCCCCATGTCCCTGCTCCCTCCTGGACCAGAGGTTCCCCACGTCCCTGTGCCCTCATATCCCTGATACCTCCCCATCCAGAGGTCCCCATGTCCCCGTGTCCCCATGTCCCTGATACCTCCTGGTCTGGAGGTCCCCATGGCCCTGCCACCTCCTGATCCAGATGTTCCCCATGTCCCTGTGTCCCCATGTCCTTTCCACCTCCTGATCCAGAGGTCTCCATGACCCCACTGCCTCCCAATCCAGAAGTCCCCATGTTCCTGTGTCCCCATGGCCCTGCCACCTCCTGATCCAGAGGTTCCCCATGTCCCCATGTCCCTGATACCTCCCAATCCAGAGGTCCCCATGTCCCCATGTCCTGGACCAGAGGTTCCCCATGTCCCTGATACCTCCTGATCTAGAGGTTCCTCATGTCCCTGTGTCCCCATGTCCCTGTGTCCCCATGTCCCTGATACCTCCCCATCCAGAGGTCCCCCTGTCCCCATGTCCCTTCTCCCTCCTGGACCAGAGGTTCCCCATGTCCCAGTGTCCCCATGTCCCTGATATCTCCCAATTCAGAGGTTCCTCATGTCCCTGTGTCCTCATGTCCCTGATACCTCCCCATCCAGAGGTCCCCCTGTCCCCGTGTCCCCATGTCCCTGCTCCCCCCTGGCCCAGAGACCCCCACGTCCCTTCCACCTCCCAACCCAGAGCTCCCCACACCCCTGATACCTCCTGATCCGGAGGTTCCTCACGTTCCTGTGTCCCCATGTCCCTGATATCTCTCAATCCAGAGGTTCCTCATGTCCCTGTGTCCCCATGTCCCTGATACCTCCTGGACCAGAGGTCCCCATGTCCCTGCTCCCCCCTGGACCAGAGGTTCCCCATGTCCCAGTGTCCCCATGTCCCTGATACCTCCTGGACCAGAGGTTCCCCAGGTCCCTGTGCCCCCATGTCCCTGGTACCTCCCCATCCAGAGGTTCCCCATGTCCCCATGTCCCTGCTCCCTCCTGGACCAGAGGTTCCTCGTGTCCCCGTGTCTCCATGTCCCTTCTGCCTCCCAATCCAGAGGTCCCCATGTCCCAGTGTCCCCATGTCCCTGCTCCCTCCTGGACCAGAGGTTCCCCATGTCCCTGTGTCCCCATGTCCTTGCCACCTCCTGATCCAGAGGTCTCCATGACCCCACTGCCTCCCAATCCAGAAGTCCCCATGTTCCTGTGTCCCCATGGCCCTGCCACCTCCTGCCCTGGTGTCCCCATGACCTTATGTCCCTTCCACCCCCACATCCAGAGGTCCCCATGTCCCCATGTCCCCGTGTCCCTGCTCCCTCCTGGACCAGAGGTCCCCATGTCCCTGATACCTCCTGGACCAGAGGTTCCTCGTGTCCCTGTGTCCCCATGTCCCTGCTCCCTCCTGGACCAGAGGTTCCTCATGTCCCTGTGTCCCCATGTCCCTTCCACCTCCTGATCCAGAGGTCTCCATGACCCTACTGCCTCCCAATCCAGAAGTCCCCATGTCCCTGTGTCCCCATGTCCCTGCCACCTCCACATCCAGAGGTCCCCATGTCCTGGACCAGACGTTCCCCATGTCCCTGATACCTTCTGATCCAGAGGTTCCTGTGTCCCCATGTCCCTGATACCTCCCAACCCAGAGGTCCCCATGTCCCTGCTCCCTCCTGGACCATGTCCCTGTGTCCCCATGTCCCTGATATCTCCCAATCCAGAGGTTCCTCGTGTCCCAGTGTCCCCATGTCCTTGCCACCTCCTGATCCAGAGGTCTCCATGACCCTACTGCCTCCCAATCCAGAAGTCCTCATGTCCCTCTGTCCCCATGTCCCTGCCACCTCCACATCCAGAGGTCCCCATGTCCTGGACCAGAGGTTCCCCATGTCCCTGATACCTTCTGATCCAGAGGTTCCTGTGTCCCCATGTCCCTCATACCTCCTGGTCTGGAGGTCCCCATGTCCCCGCTACCTCCCAACCCAGAGGTCCCCATGTCCCCATGTCCCTGTGTCCCTGCTCCCTCCTGGACCAGAGGTTCCCCATGTCCCTGATACCTCCTGGACCAGAGGTTCCTTGTGTCCCTGTGTCTCCATGTCCCTTCTGCCTCCCAACCCAGAGGTCCCCATGTCCCTGATACCTCCTGGACCAGAGGTTCCTCATGTTCCTGTGTCTCCATGTCCCTTCTGCCTCCCAACCCAGAGGTCCCCATGTCCCAGTGTCCCCATGTCCCTTCTCCCTCCTGGACCAGAGGTTCCCCATGTCCCAGTGTCCCCATGTCCCCGATATCTCCCAATTCAGAGGTTCCTCATGTCCCTGTGTCCTCATGTCCCTGATACCTCCCCATCCAGAGGTCCCCCTGTCCCCGTGTCCCCATGTCCCTGCTCCCCCCTGGCCCAGAGACCCCCACGTCCCTTCCACCTCCCAACCCAGAGCTCCCCACACCCCTGATACCTCCTGATCCGGAGGTTCCTCACGTTCCTGTGTCCCCATGTCCCTGATATCTCTCAATCCAGAGGTTCCTCATGTCCCTGTGTCCCCATGTCCCTGATACCTCCTGGACCAGAGGTCCCCATGTCCCTGCTCCCCCCTGGACCAGAGGTTCCCCATGTCCCAGTGTCCCCATGTCCCTGATACCTCCTGGACCAGAGGTTCCCCAGGTCCCTGTGCCCCCATGTCCCTGGTACCTCCCCATCCAGAGGTCCCCGTGTCCCCATGTCCCTGATACCTCCTGGACCAGAGGTTCCCCATGTCCCAGTGTCCCCATGGCCCTGATATCTCCCAATCCAGAGGTCCCCATGTCCCTGCTCCATCCTGGACCAGAGGTTCCCCATGTCCCCCTGTCCCCGTGTCCCCATGTCCCTGCTCCCCCCTGGCCCAGAGACCCCCACGTCCCTTCCACCTCCCAACCCAGAGCTCCCCACACCCCTGATACCTCCTGATCGGGAGGTTCCTCACGTTCCTGTGTCCCCATGTCCCTGATATCTCTCAATCCAGAGGTTCCTCATGTCCCTGTGTCCCCATGTCCCTGATACCTCCTGGACCAGAGGTCCCCATGTCCCTGCTCCCCCCTGGACCAGAGGTTCCCCATGTCCCAGTGTCCCCATGTCCCTGATACCTCCTGGACCAGAGGTTCCCCAGGTCCCTGTGCCCCCATGTCCCTGGTACCTCCCCATCCAGAGGTTCCCGTGTCCCCATGTCCCTGATACCTCCTGGACCAGAGGTTCCCCATGTCCCTGTGTCCCCATGGCCCTGATATCTCCCAATCCAGAGGTCCCCCTGTCCCCATGTCCCCATGTCCCTGTGTCCTTGATACCTCCTGATCCAGAGGTTCCTCACGTTCCTGTGTCCTCATGTCCCTTGATACCTCCCGATCCAGAGGTCTCTATGACCCCACTGCCTCCCAATCCACAAGTCCCCATGTCCCCATGTCCTCATGTCCTAGACCAGAGGTTCCCCATGTCCCTGATACCTCCTGATCTAGAGGTTCCTCATGTCCCTGTGTCCCCATGTCCCTGTGTCCCCATGGCCCTAATACCTCCTGGGCCAGAGGTTCCCCAGGTCCCTGTGCCCCCATGTCCCTGGTACCTCCCCATCCAGAGGTCCCCGTGTCCCCATGTCCCTGATACCTCCTGGACCAGAGGTTCCCCATGTCCCAGTGTCCCCATGGCCCTGATATCTCCCAATCCAGAGGTCCCCATGTCCCTGCTCCATCCTGGACCAGAGGTTCCCCATGTCCCCCTGTCCCCGTGTCCCCATGTCCCTGCTCCCCCCTGGCCCAGAGACCCCCACGTCCCTTCCACCTCCCAACCCAGAGCTCCCCACACCCCTGATACCTCCTGATCGGGAGGTTCCTCACGTTCCTGTGTCCCCAACGTCCCCGATCCCTCCCCCTCCCGAGGTCCCCACGTGCCCCCCACGTAGTTATGGACCTACTGATGGGTTCCCCCCCCCAGGTGCCCCCCCCGGGGTGCTCACCGTGGTGTACTTGCCCAGTTGGCAGAGGGAGGGGAAGGTCTCCTGGTGGGCTCTGCTGACCTTCTGCACCAGCTCCTCCAGCTCCGGGCTCAGCTCGTAGCTCTCGCCCAACCCCCCTTCCTCCTTCACCTCCTTCTTCTTCTTGTTCCTATCGTTGCGAACGGCTGGC